GGAGACGGCGACTACACGCGCTTCTACCGCCTCCTCGGCATGTAGAACTGCAAAGGCGGGCGGCGGGCGGTGGGGAGCGGCGAGGTAGACGGCGAGGTGCAGCGATGGAGACGGCGGGGGCAGCCCGTACTAATTTTTTCTTTTTTTGTAAAATATGTTTAAATTTGAACGAGCTCGCCGATGTTTGCATTAAATTTGGGCCTTGTTTTCCCTGTATTTGACTTTTTCAAAAAAACATGGGCGCCGCGACTGGGGGCATCACGCCCCCAGTGCGTGGTTTAGCGCCGGTGCGCCCCCAGGGGGCGATTTTTAGCCCCTCCTGGGGGGCCAACGGCTGGAGATGCTCTTACTGTCTTGTGCATATTCGGTTTCCCTTGTTACTCGAGGTTATAGTAATGTAATTGATGAGTTATGCATGCGTGCGCAGCTTCCACTTTATTCTCCTAGAGATTAAGCTTGAGCAGGGACTAGTAAACGTTTTAGACTCGAGACGAAAAAATCCCGAGGAGTGTGCGGCCATGACTAAAATGCTCGAGAAATAAGTTCAATCGATCATTATCGCACCATATCGGCAACTTTGTTCATTTCCTGATATCAAGTAATTGTTTTCTTTGTCTGGCGGGGTTTTGAAAGAGTTCACCGCACAAGCTCCGGGACTGCAGGGGGAGCTGCGATTTACACACCCCAAAGTAAGTACTACTAGCTAGTTCCGCGCATCTCCCATTGATTCTAGCTAGTTTCATCAATAACATTTATAATGCTTGATTATCAATTTGATTGACCTCCATTTCTCGTAAAGTGCTTGTGGCAGGAACCTGGGAATGATTACTGTGGATACTACATTTGCGAGTTTATCTACAACACGACGACCAAGAATAAGCGGGGCTACTCTAAAAAACAATATGAAGTGCGTAAGCAATAATATTCATAATTTTATTTTATTACCATCATTTGTGTTGAGTTTCATTCATATATATGTATTGGCCCCCTTCTTCAAATTAGATGTGGCAAATGCGGAATGAACTCCTACCACAAGATCACATACGAGCAATTCAAGAGGAATTGGTGGGATTCTTTTTTGACCACGTCATCAATAAAGTCGGAGAATACCATGTGGAAGTTGAGTTCAGATGTTAGGGGATTGTAAGAGATCTTATATTGTATATATGTAGCCAGTAGCGTCGGATAGATATACGAAAACTTGTTGTCGGACCAATCTCTCGGAAAAGGAGAGGCCGATCACTTCTCTGTGTATATGTTCATGACGATCTTCTGTACTTAATGGTTTCCTTCATTTGCTTACTAGCTAGCGTGTCGAGTCTTCTCTATACGTATAGTACGTAGCGTCGACCAAGCACGGAGATAAGAGAGGACACTTCTCTCTATTAGCTAGCTAACACAATATATGAAACCCCTAAATTAACCCTACAAAACCCCAAAACCCCAAACTCCCTCCCCCCTTTCAAAAAAAACAAAAACCCCAGCCCCTGAACTGCTGACGCGTGGATGCCTTTTGGTCCCGTTTGGTGCTACCAACCGGGACAAAAGGCCCTCCTGCCTGGGCAAGCCGCAGCGGCCACGTGGAGCCCCATCTGTCCCGGTTCGTAGGCGAACCGGGACTAAAGGTATTGGGCTTTAGTACCGATCCTTTAGTCCCGGTTCCGGAATCAGGACAAATGGGCCTCTGGAACCAGGACAAATGGGCATTTTTTTACTAGTGAGTCTAATCCATGTCACTGCTAACATATACTTTTCATGATATTGCAAACAACCTCTAGCATGCTACTAGTCTAAAAATCCATCACACGACATGGTATAAGTACAAACATTAACTAGCCAAAAGGTGTCTAATTGGCTACGTTCTCTAGTAGAGAAGGGACATTTAAACAAATTCATGATATTACTCAGCTAGTGTTTTGTCGTACAGAAATAGGAAAATATAGTATTGTTGTCTGTCATCCATCAACTACTATCATTTGAGACAACTTCACGATAGACGGTTCCCAAAACTCTCTGGGTGTAACCATGCAAGTGACTTTTGATGCTAAAGCGCTATAGTAAGGCATGATCTTCATAACCATTCGTCCCTTCAGTAACCATATCCTGGATCCAAACATCTGTGGTATTTGATATTTGAAAAAAAGACAACCAATTAAGGTTGGAAATTACAAGGTTATGGTAGCACGTGAAGGTAATCCCGCCAAGAGGAGATGACTACCTGGTCGGTTGGTCCTCTAAACCAATATGTCGAAGGTACAAGGTCGGTTAAGACCTTTGAAAGAATAGCTATCCTTGAATTGTCTAAATAACGAAATACTTTGGCCATTAGGTCACATTTATGGGCCGCTATAACTGGGCATAATTTTCTACTCTAGCAGTCACATCACGAGCGAGGAAACTATGCAGATCTAAGATTTGGTTCAAGTTTTAGCTTAGACTATCATGAATATGTGCTACTCTTTTGTGGACTAGGACTAGAAGGAAGTCGGTTTCATTGCATGTGCCGTTTGTTGACCTACCTTTATTAATTGTTTAAATAAACAAAAGAAAGGGATGCAAGTCGTATTTGTGGTGGTTGGGAGGATACTTTCAGTGCACGCCTAGTCTGCTAGGTGGAAAGCAACCTGCTCAATACGTGTATTATATGACAAACATGACCATTCTACCACGCAAAATTAATAGTAGTGCTAGGCGGGCACAACTTTCTACTCTGCTAGGCATGTCACCAGCACGAAAACTACTTGTATCTAGACTCATTTCAAGTTTTAGCTCAGACCGGTATTGCATGCATGCAAATCTTCTTTTTTACCCTGAAAACAGTAGGACATGCTCCTACTGTGTAAATGCATGCAACACTTTTGTGGACTAGGAGTAGACAAAAGTATGTTTCATTGTGTGTGATGTTTATTGACCTAACTTTATTTAATTATATAAATAAATAAAAGAAAGGCAAGCAAGCAAGTCATATTCGTGGTGGTTGGGAAGATGCCTCCAGTGTGGAAAGTATCAGATGATACGAGGCGTCCCGTGCTCAAATAATACGGGATCCCGAGAGCCCTTGGATTTGAGATCCAATGGCAGCGGCCGAAATTCTGGACTTATGCGTAAATATCAGATCCTGAAGGGCTTTTTTGCACAGTTGGAGGAGCTCAGCATGCGATCATTTTCAGTGCACAGCTAGGCTGCTCTGTGGAGTGCAATCTACTCCCTCTGTTTCTAAATATAAACCATTTTAATTAAATATTTTAATGCAAACTATATATATATATATATATATATATATATATAGGTAAAACTGTGCAAATTCAATAATAATAGAATTGGGCATAATTTTCTAGTCTACTCTACTAGGCACGTCATGAGCGAGAAAGCTACACGTATCTAAGAATGGTTTCGAGTTTTAGCTTAGACTGACATGCATGCATGCATGCTACTCTTTCGTGGACTAAAAATAGACAAAAGTATGCTTCATTGCATGTGACATTTGTTGGCCTACATTTTTTAATTGTACTCCATTCGTCCCATAGTATAGTGAACATTGGTTTTCATAAAAATCAAGCTTCGTAAACTTTGATCAAGTTTGCTGAAAAAATCATCTACATCTACAATAAAAGAATATATACCATATAAAAAAGTATTTCATGATGAATATAATGGTATTGTTTTCGTATTCTAGATGTTGATAATTTTCTATATAAACTTGATCAAAGTTGGTAAGGTTTGACCTTGAAAAAAAAAATCTAGTATACACTATACTCTCGGACGGAGGGAGTATAATATAAATAAACAAAAGAAATGCATGCAAGTCGTATTTGTGGTGGTTCGGGAGATATCAGTTGAGCTGCTACGTAGATACCAATCCACGCTAGTATATTACTATGCGACAAACATGACCATTCTACCATGCAAATTTAATGATACTGCTAACTGGGGACAATTTTCTACTCTGCTTGTCACGTCACGAGCAAGGAAATTGCGTGTATCTATGATTCGTTTCAAGTTTTAGCTTAGACTGGCATGCACTCATGCTACTCTTTTGTGGACTAAGAGTAGACAATTGTATAAGTAAACAAAAAGAAAGACATGCAGGTCTTATTTCTGATGGTTGGGAAGATGTTTTTAGTGCACACCTGGGCTGCTACGTGAGAAAGGAATCTACTCAGTCGTATGAGAATGATGAATGTACTACCCAAATTTAGTACTCCCTCCGTCCGAAAATATTTGTCGAAGGAATGAATGTATCTAGACGTATTTTAGTTTTAAATACATCAATTTTTATCCATTTGTCCGGCAAATATTTACGGACGGGGGGAGTATTGTAATTAAGATTTAAGAATCTTTCGCAAAAAAAAATTAAGATTTAAGAATCAGTTCAAGTTTAACCTTGGGTTGACGTACATGGTTGCCATTGTGTGCATGATTGGGACACTAAGAAATTATAGTATGTCTCATATATATATATATATATATATATATATATATATATATATATATATATATATATATTTATATATATATGGGTAGTGACGGGACATGGAGGAACCCATGGGCTCATCGGTGATAAGTTTTCCAAGTGAAAATAGACTATTCATCGGAGTCACCACTGACGAGTGACCACCCCTCCCCTCCCCTCCGCGCTCTCGTTCCGTCATTGTCAATATCAGTGCAAGATTGCAAGAAATATCAGCGTAAGATAGTGTGCCTACCACGAATTTTTTCGAATGAACAAAGGAGAAGTGAAAGGATAAAAAAGAGGAAAGACATTGAAAGCAACAAAGACAATATATTTATTTATTATGGACATAGTTGTGGGTATTGACCATACTCAAACCCTAGTCCGCTACTGTACGTAACATCATTGTCTCCCAATACAAGTATGTGTCATACAAATACTAACATACTTTTTTGTATGTTACACATATCAAAAGACATATGCATACAGTACATATTGCTTGCATGAATACAAGTAGAAGTAGATCATATAGTTAAGCGACTGCAAATTAAATTCCATTTCTCGTATATCTCACGAGTAATTTTCCCTTTGGATCTGGCAAGAACTTGCTCCAGTCTGTGTTAGGGAAGGGAGAGACCAATTCGAGATCAAAGTTCCTCAGCAAATGGCTCCATATCACTTTGAGTTGCATGTAAGCATAAGCCTCTCCAGTGCAAACGTGCCTTCCACCACCAAATGATGTGTAAGAGAACTTGCCACCCACTTTGTCCTCTCTTCTTTCTGGGCCAAACCGATTTGGATCATACACCTGAGGGTCCGTATAAATGTAAGGGATATAATTGTTTACTATAGTAGGAGTTGCTACGATGTAGTCCTGCGGGATGTCATATTGTTGGCCTTCTTTCGTCTGCACCGTGAAGCGCTTATGGACCCTGCGAACCAGCAGTGGTGTTGCAGGGTTCTTCCGCAGCGCCTCCTTGATGCAATTATGCAGCGTATCCATCTCTAAGAAGGCATTGTATTCTGGTCCGTCCTTGTATTTCTTGGCGACTTGATGTTGCTCCTCAATGGCAGCTCTTAAGAAGGCTGGATGGCTGAGAAGACAAGCTCCAGTCCAAGTACTAGTATGAGAGCTGGTGTGTTTTCCAGCAAACAGCAAGCCAATGATCAACCCGGCTACCTCTTCTACTGTTGTAGGGCGACCATCTTTGTACTTGGAGTCAATCAGTTTCTGCAGCGTGTCCTCCTCCACTCGCCCGGAGCTCTTACGGGACTCGACAACATTAGAGAGGATCTCTGTTAGCCTTATACGTGCCCTATCACGCTGCCGGTTTGCTGGAGTTGGGAGATATGGGAACAAGAAGCTGATCAAGGTCACACCCTTTTCGATCTCGCGAAAAAGTGTGTAGACTTCATCAAACATATTCTCCCGGACCTCTTTTCCAAGCAAACATCGGCCTGATATCAACATAAGTAGCTGCTCGAACTCAAGCTTTAGATCAACTACGCCTTCCTCTCCCCACTTTGCAAAGAAATCCTGTGCATATACATGAGTCAATTAATACACCACCCGTCCATCACACACACACACACACACACACACACACACACACAGTAAAAAGGCGCACCTCCACTTCTTGAAGCATTGGAGAAACATGGCTCCTTAACCTGGATGCCCTCAGTGCTTCACTGTGGAAGCGCATTTGTTCCATTCGGGTGGCGGTATCTCTACCATAACCAACTGCCTTGCCAAACATGGGTACTGTGAACTCAAGCAGATTACCATGGCTAATCTCTGACTCCAAACCTTGGAAGAAATGAGTCGTCGCCTCTGGCCCGATCAAGAGTGTTACCTTGATCACTCCAAAGCAACTTACAGTGAAGACACTGCCATAGTTAACATATAGATAATTGAACATAGGTGGTAGACCCTTCTTCAGAAGGGTAGGTAATAATCCTAGGAGAGCAAGTCCATTCACCATGGGTGGAAGTTGGCCTGTTGTACGCTGTGGATCAATGTTTTTGATTCTTGCTCTTGTGATCTTGGTGGCCAATACAGTAATGGAAAGAAGAGCTATGGCCCACCACATCGTAGTGAGACTTGTCAAGTCCATGGTGATGTTTATTTGACCTGCAAGAACATTAGTATGAGTTACTCTCCCTCCCATTCATTTTATTAGGCCCATCTCTAAATAGACTGTTGTTGTTCTGTTGACAGTACATATATTGTACACTTCCCTACATGTACAACAGCTGAATAAACTTTTTATATAACCACGCATGCTTGAAGCTTAAATTTACCTGAGAACAAATCACATTCTTATGGACTCGGTGAACACCCAAGCATAACATATCGATGTTTATGCGGATCTAGCTAGTGGCATACAAATACTGACTGAGAGTAGAAAATAAAAAAAAAGCCAAAAAAGGAGAATGAATAAATCGCTAACGGCACTGATTAAAAGTACAGAATACTAGCTAGTAGAATAGACTATGCATGGTTTCATTATATTGCCTCAACAACGCGCATGCACCAAACTCTAATGAACAGAAGAGGTGGCAGCATGCATGCATACCTCAATACGTAGAAGCTTATTCGTCTCTTTCACGTACTAGCTAGTAGCAGCTAGTTAAATGGTATGTCTGCACTATCATCAAATTAGGGCTGCAATCTCTGCTAGCTAGCTAACTAGCAGTGAGTGAGTGCGAGATCTGTGCGGAGTAACACACAGGAAGGCAACTAAGGATATGAACATCGATATATAGAATATATACAGAGAGAGTGAGTGAGTGCAGTCTGGGAAGTCCAACATCAATTACAGCTACTCCTAGCTAGCAGCCACACTGTGACTAATGCCCGAGCCCGACCGTTGGTTCTTCTTGGTTGGAAATATCTCTGACTTTTGAGTACATAGTGTGGTGTCTTTTACCAGTGCTGCTGTACTCCCCACGTATGGAACGTCAAGTCCTAGCTAGTCGTAATCCATGGTTTCGTGCCCGAGTTGGAGTTTGCAACCTAATAGTCTGGGTCTGGCAATGACTACCAGAGAAAATACTACTCCCTCGCTTCTGGTTTGTATCTTAGGCCACGTTTTGACTATGAATTTAACTAGCAAAATATTCTCTCTCTCTCTCTCTCTCTCTCTAGCCTACCCCAACTTGTTTGGGACTAAAGGCTTTGTTGTTGTTGTTGTTGTTGTTCTCTCTCTCTCTCTCTCTCTCTCTGTGTGTGTGTGTGTGTAAATAATCAGCGACCCTTTTTGTAAGGAATAATAATTGGGCATGCATAGGGCCTCTTTGGTTCGTAAAATTCGCAAAACACAATAATCGGGGAGAAAGAGGCCGTGGTTTTCAACAAGAACTTGAAACATGCACACTTCTACAGATTATGCTATTACTGACAAAAGATCACAGATGCATGGTAGGAATATCCTTTTCAGATGAAGGCCACCATACGTGTCTAGGCCTTTGCCGAGAGTCCATGTCTTTGCCGAGTGCTTTCTGAATGGCACTTGTCAAAGAACAGGCTTTGCCGAGTGTCCAACCTTAGCCGAGGGCCTTTTTTTTTTGCACTCGGTTTATGAGATCCTTTGCCGAGTGTCCAACAGGACGCACTACCAATCCGGGCCATTTCAGTAGTGAATAGTGAGTGCTCCATTTGGTTTTTTTAGGGGTGAATACTCCATTTAGTGCAAGCCTCACAAAGTCTGCCAACCAGGAATCTTTTCAAATGCAACAGAAAAAAGTAGTGGAAGGACACAAAAGGACGGATGACATAGAAACCAACCAAGACTATGTATTTATTTCTTGATGAACATAATTGTGGGTACGGAACTACTAGCACTCAAAGCCAAGTCCGCCACTAAATGTGGCATCCAAACACGATTGCATTGATATTACACAGAAGTAAGCGTACATATACACATATAGGTTGCAGTGGATCAACTAATTAAGTGACTGCACAATGCCATTCCTCTTATATTTTACGAGTAGTTTTCCTTGTGGCTCTGGCAAGAACTTGCTCCAGTCTGTCTTGGGGAAAGGGGAGATCAATTCGAGCTCAAAGTTCCTCAGCAAATGGCTCCATATCACTTTAAGTTGCATGTAAGCATAGGCCTCCCCGGTGCAAATGTGTCGTCCACCGCTAAATGACGTGTAAGAGAACTTGCCACCTACTTTGTCTTCTCTTCTTTCGGGGCCAAACCGGCATGGATCATATACCTGAGGGTCCTTATAGATATAAGAGATGTTATTGTTGACTATAGTGGGAGTTGCTACGATGTGGTCTTGCGGGATGTCATATTCTTTGCCCTCTTTCGTCTTCACCATGAAGCTCTTATGTGCTCTGCGGACCAGCATTGGTGTTGGAGGGTGCTTCCTTAGTGCCTCCTTGATGCAACTATGTAGTGTATCCATCTCTATAAATGCATTGTAGTCTAGCCCCATGTCCTTGTATTTGCTACTGATTTGTTGTTGCTCCTCAATGGCAGCTCTCAAGAAAGTTGGATGGCTGAGTAAACAAGCTGCAGTCCAAGTACTAGTGTGAGAGCTGGTGTGTTTTCCAGCAAACAACAAGCCAATGATTAGCCCGACTACCTCTTCTACCGTTGTAGGGCGACCATCTTTGTACTTAGAGTCGATCAATTTCTGCAGCGTGTCCTCCTCAACTCTGCCAGAGTTCTTACGGGAATTGACGACATCAGAAAGGATTTGTGTTAGCCTTATGCGCGCTCTATCTCGCTGCCGGTTTGCTGGAGATGGGAGATATGGGAACAAGAAGCTGATCAAAGTCACACCATTGTCTTCAATCTCGTGAAATAGTGTGTAGACTTCATCGAACATGTTCTCCCGAACCTCTTTTCCGAGCAAACACCTGCTTGAGATCAACATGAGTAACTTCTCGAACTCAAGCTTTAGATCAACTATGCCTTCATCTCCCCATTTTGCAAAGTAACCCTGCATGAATGCATCAATACAACATAAGTTTTGTGCAACTTGTATGTAAACATGTACTCTAGAACAGATGAGTAATTTATGGTTTAAACTTTGTAATGAAAAGATGCCTGCATGCATAAACCGAGCTAGAGGCCCTTTTCGGGGCAAAAATACACTAGTAGAAAAAGGGTCAAACGTGAAGCACATTAGTGCCGGTTTGTATTTAAGCCGGCACTAATGTATACATTAGTGCCGGTTCCAACGGCTAGCCGGGCCGCTTTCATTAGTACCGGTTCGTGGCGAACCTTTAGCACCGGTTCGTGCCACGAACCGGTACTAATGAGAGTGGTGGCAGGATGTTGTCAGACTGGGCCCCTCCAACCCCTTTAGTACCGGTTCTTGGCACGAACCGGTACTAAAGGTCGTCCTACATAAACCCTTCGTCCACCCGAGCTCGCTCTGTTCTTCCCCTTTCCCCTCTCCTCTCTGTTCTTCCCCTCTTCCTCTCGAGCTCATCACACATTTTGCCCAAAATTTGTCAAGATTTGAAGGCCCCCATCCATTCAAATGATCACAAAGGTTAGCAACTTTGCCCTTTCATCTCTCATTGCTAGATTAGCTCTTGCAATGCTTTATATAGTGATTAATTTGTGAGTTTAGTAATTTGGGAGGATATATATATATGTGCTAGTATTTGATTTATATGCAATTTGAGGTCAAAAATAACACTTAGTTTGCATATGTAGGTGTGGTTTACTTAGTGCCTTCTAAATCTCCGTCGTAACCACCGTCGATCGCCCGCACCGTCCCGTCGCCGGCACCACCTTGTGGTGAGCCTCTTGTTCATGAAATTTTATATAAAAATTGATGTATGTGTGATTTGGATATATAGTTACTCGTATAATTATCTTACCCATACGTTGTTTGTTATACATATAGTGCCATGGTTTTGATATCCGTCCCCGTCGACCCTCGTCCTTGTTATGATTCAGATGTGGTATATATATTCTCTTTTAAAACTAGTTGCATTTCGTGTTTATGACAAATTATGGCCATCAAGTTGACATAGATATTTGTATGTAGGAGGTAGTTGAACCGGAAATTCCAACCGACCCTATTGTCAAGAGGTTAAATTTAGTTGAAAGAGAAAACGAGTACTTGAAAGAAAAATTGAAAAGAATTGAGGGGGAGAAGATGGAATTGGAGTTGCATGTTGCCGATGTCGTTGATGATCACAAGATCAAGATGGAGAAAATGCGCTTGAAGATTAGAAAGATTAGAAAATATGCCATCGATAGTGAGGCTTGGTATCATTATGCTGTTGGATCCATTGTTGCCTTAGTTGCGATCTTGATCGTATTTGTTGTTGCATTTAAATGCTTTAGCTAGAGAGTTATTTGTTTGTTGCATTTAAGTGTTGTATGAACTTTATGTATGAACTTGTATTAATTTGGTCTATTCGGTGTTGTGTAATGAAGATGAGCCGGCAATGGATGTACGATGACCGATGCTCTCCCCAGTTTGTTGAGGGCGTGCATACTTTTCTGCTTGCGGCTGAGGCAAACAAGCGGGTGGATGGTTTTATGCCTTGTCCATGTGCTCGCTGTAAGAATGGTCACAATTACTCTACGTCAAGAACCATTCACGTCCACCTGTTTAAGTCCGGTTTCATGCCCCATTATAATGTTTGGACCAAGCACGGAGAAAGAGGGGTTATGATGGAAGACAATGAAGAAGAAGAGGACGACGACAGCTATCCTAGCCATGGGTTCCCTGAATACGATGATACAACAATGGGGGAAGAAGCTGAGCCGGTAATGCGGGAAGAAGCTGAGCCGGCAATGCGGGAAGAAGCTGAAGAAGAGGCATCAGATGAGCCCGTTGATGATCTAGGTCAGGCCATTCCCGATGCAAAGAGAAACTGCGCAAGTGATTTGGAGAAGAAGAAGTTGCAGCGCATGTTAGAGGATCACAAAAAATTGTTGTACCCGAATTGCGTAGGTGACAAGAAAAAGCTGGGCACCACACTGGAATTGCTGCAATGGAAGGCAGAGAATGGTGTATCTGACAAGGGATTTGGAAAGTTGCTGGTAATGATAAAGGATATGCTTCCAAAGGACAACGAATTGCCCGAGAGTACGTACGAAGCAAAGAAGGCTGTCTGCCCTCTAGGGTTAGA